GGGTTAACGGTAAGTTAATTTTATTTTATTCTTTTCTTCCTTCTCTCTCTCTCTCTCTCTCTCTCTCTCTCTCTCTCTGTTTCGAACAGGACAGATTTCGATTTCGTTCTGTTCGGGATTCCATCGGGATTCCCTGCAATTTGTAAACTGGCGTTAAACTCGTGAATAATTGCGAGTAAACGTAGAGCGAGGAAAAGGAAAAAGTATGGAGAAACATGGTTTTATGAAGGCGCGATAGCAACACCAGGGATCACACCCCTACAGATGCAGAGAAGAGGGCATAAATTTAAAATTCGTCCCGCGTTTCCGGACTAAGGAAGGATCGTGTAAACGGTAACGAAACGAAACACGGTGGCTGGAATAAAGCGCAATTCATTCAACCGCATTTCCCGCGAGGGAAACGTACAGAAGGCAAAGCGGGATGCGTCTCTCGTTCAATTTGTTCGAACCGTGAAGAACGGTCCCTGCCCATACCCTTTATATTAGGATCAATATGCACATATATGTATAACACCGTGTGAAACGTCTAAATATTATGTCACGCGTGTTATTATATTATAACACGATTAGAAAATTGGTAACAATGATACGTACACACGGTTATCAGACAGATAACCGTCGCTTCATCGATACGTTTCACACGACGCGTGGCTCCCGCGGAGGTGGCGTCAAAGACGAGCAGAGGAGGAGGAGGAAGATTAGACACGGAACTTAATACGTCTCTGATGGATCTTGCCGGAATATGCAGAAACCGACGCACAAATTACAATCGGGAAGGGATCGTTGTTTATTCGACAACACGGACGAGCAGGATCAGTTTGTTGGCGCGGCAATAGTTAGAATTTTGATCGTTTTGTAAATCGAATCCGTACTCGCAGTATCGATGGTTCGCTTTGAAAGAGAGATTCTCGTGTTGTAGGAAATCGAAACGGTGCTCTCACACTCCCTCTATGTAACGTACGCACGCTCTGTGTACATTAGACAGTATACACGAATGTTGTTTTTTGCATTTCGTGCAAAACGTTTTAATCCTTCCTTTCCATGGTTACAACGCGCATTCGTTGCCAACGTTTGGAAATATTTCGCGAATATTTATCCCCCGTATTGATAAATGTTAGTCACTTGGGATGGAACGGGAAATTTAGGTGATAAGATAACGGTGATTCGGAAACAGCGGCGCTGCTCGGTAACGATTCATCGATCGAAAAACCATCAAACGAATCAATTTTAATTGTGATTCGTTCCCCGGCCTCGTCTGCGTTTCAACCTCTAAAAATAACACGTTACACGGAAGCGTTACGTTTCAAAAGCGTGGACAAAAATCGAGCGAAAAATCGAGGACGATTTGATAGTCGTCGCTCGATTTGAATTTCGTCGCGTATCGGTTTGTGATAGAATGAATGTTCAAGAATCTTCGCAACACGTTCCACGATCGATAACATCGGAGGAAATTCTGTGTTTCCTGTTTCTTGATGAAATCGTGTTTGCGAAAATACGTAAAACGTCGTGATATTGAGATGCTGCTTAAGATTTCGTTCGTTTAAACAATATGTCTCGTTCGGATGAACGAACGAATGCCCAACGAAGTATCTTCAAAATTAACTTGGACGAACTTGTTCGATGTTAACCCCGCCACCCCGTTGCAGAATGGAGAGACGAATATATTCCGAGCACTTACTTACTTACTCACTCGCCCTTTTTCGTTCATTCATTTAAAATTCTCGCCAATCTCCTACCTTTCCCCGACATTCAAATTCCTCTCGCAATTTCTACTCGTCCGACAACTTTCCCTTCGACAATAGGAAACGATAGCGCGTATCGTGCGAAAGTTTCGACGCGATGAAATTGATTCGCGGATTAAAAATAAACTCTGAAATCCGAGATTCTCGATCCCTTCGTAACTGCAATTTATACCTTCCAGCCAATCTCTCACGACCGCTAATCCCCCCCGTAAACCTGGTGACTCGTACGACAACCGAAAATCAATTTACGCCTCCAACTTTCTCCGTGTTTCATGCACCGTGAATAGCGATCCCAACACGCGGCTTCGAGTTACACTTCGTCCATGATCATTGCCGATCGACTTCCGCAACGACGTCCAACACGTCCAATCGACGCGGCGCTTCGATTGACGTTCGATGCGCGGAATGGCCCGGTTGCCACTGGATCACGGTAAGTCGAGACCGTGGCACAGGTTCAACGGAGAAGTGGATCCATTGAAACGAAGCGATGGATGTCGGATCGAACGATGTCATCGTCGCTGGAATCTCTGCTGATATATATATATATATACATATACAAATATATTTTTTTCACCGCTTTTGTGTCCGTGCGCATAGGAATATTCCGTTCTTTCTTTTTTTCTTCTTTTTTCTTTTCTTTGCGCGCACACAGGCAAACGTGCATTCATCGGGGCGTGCGCGCGCACTGGTCTCGTTTCGCGTGCCTTGCCTACTTCTAATTACTCGTGCATCAGCTTCCAAGTATCGAAATTCGAATACGATACTTGCTGGCGAGGTAGCATCGGGACGCGAACACCAGGTGTTGAAATTGGAATGATTATGCTTCTATCCTGTTTAAACGGGAATTGCGTAAATGCCATTATCAAATATTGGTTACGTTACGTTTGGTTAAAGGCGAGACAGTAAAGACAAATTCTCGTTAAATCCTTGGGTAACATTATTCGATTAATCCTCGCAGCATGCGCAACGGTTCGAACAATCCAACTTGTAATCAAGTATCTTCTTCGTGAGAAACTGTTTAAGCGAGACGAGATAGATAAACGATAAGAAAACAAGGATTCTCGTTGCCTCGAGGAGAAAATTCGAGATTTCGAAATATTGCGTAAAGAAAATATAAAACTATCTGTCGATCGTTCGCGTCGATTGGATCATTATACATCGATTCGTCCGTCGTTGTTTATTTAATGGCCCGTTGGAAAAATTAATAAAAATCGTGTCAACGCGATCGAAGCTTTCACAGCGAGCGTTCCTCGGCGTAATAACTTGGCGTCACATAGAGAGGGAAAATTTTACGCGTCGTAAACACGATTCGCAATTGACCACGACAGCTTTCGGATTCGTTACGGCAAATGGGCCAGCGTGGCGTTTGTTTAGACGTGCGGGTAATTTCGCGGAACAATTTCCGTTTTAACGGAACGCCTTTCACGCAGCTCAAGTACGTGCAATTTTTATTCGATTCCTAGCAATTGGATTAAGATGAAATCTCGCGTGTGCCCAGATTTTTCTGCGTCAATTTTCAATCATCGACCCGTGCACGAACGGACGGCTAATCTCATTTTATGATATTCTGGCATAATTTGAACGAGCAAGTCAAAGATTTTTACCGTCTTTCGAATAAATATACGAACGTTCTTAATAATGATATTTCAGTTTCGAAAGACTTTTATCGCAAAAGCAGCGAATCAACGACGCCCGCGATAAAGGAGATTACCTTTTTTGGCGAAGGAGGAATCAGCAACAGGTATCGATGCCCTTGCATGCATCCCACCGTATATCGAAAAAGCGAATCCGCACCAAGAGCGACCCGATTTCTCTCCACGGTATCCACTTTCGTTGTTCCCCCTATTTTAGATTCGGTTCACTTGCCACTGTGATAACGCGATAAAAAAAACACAACGAGGGTAGCCCAATTTTCAACCCGCGTCTTATTTTCCTATCCTCCAGTAAGAAACTGAAAGAATAAGGAAAAGAAGAAATCTCTTCGTGGGAATGATCTTAATTCTCAACCGTTTCATTTCGTGTAAACGTGATCGACGAAACGTTTCATCTTTCTCAATGACGCCCGAAAGACTGTGCAGCCTTCGGAAAGTTCGAGGCGAGAGATGCATCCAGGTCGGTAAAAAAAGCTTCTCGTTGTCGGAATAATTTTCGAAAATTACGCGCAATTAAGACGCCGCTGAATCGGTCAGAGAGAAGCGTAACACGATTACGCGAGTTCGAGGGATCTCGATCCAGTTGTACGAATGTTGTTGATCTGTATGACGTCCATCCAAGTATTTCGCGAAGCAACGAAGCCGATTTACTTGTTGGAGAGCGCGCAAGGAGAGCGGTGTCGCTAACGAATTTAACCACGTGGTCGGGAACAACGTTACGAATTTTAACGAATCGTGGTCCCCCTCCCCCTCCCCCTCCCCCCGTATTCCTCGACCGCGTTTCGTTTTCGCAGGATCGTTGAATATTAATGGGAAATTTTCGATTAACACCACGTCCGAGCGTGGGTTTCGAGGGTGGTTGGATTTCGTTCGCTCCGTGATACACACCCTTTGTTAATCCGGGTTAATGGAATAGCGTGCCGTCTCCACCGTTTCGAAAATATTCGGGAAAATAATCGGGCGCAAAGAAAGAATGCTCACCGTCGATGTCGATCTCCTGCAACATCGTGCGCAGCTCCTCGGCCCTCGCGAATTGCCCCAGCGAGCGCATCACCCTGCCGAGCTCCTCCTTCGTGATGCTTCCGTCCCCGTCCTTGTCGAACAGTCTGAACGCTTCCCTGAATTCTAACAACAGATTAAAAAATACGTTCGATGCGATTAAGTAAATATAATGTAACGTTCACTCGAGTATTCTTCCTTTCGTAGTTGTGGAGCAAAGTATAGGCGGTGTTCGAGATTGAGATTCGGGCGAGAAGGGAAGAAGATTAAAGGCGCCTGAGAGAAGTGTTTGAGCAACTCGCCACGGAGTGGCGCGCAGCGAAATTTCCTTCCGGTCTTAATGCATCGCCGTTCGAATCGCGTCCTCACCGACTCCTCGGTTATTTTATTTAAAACTCTGTTCTACGATACGATCGTACACAGTCGAATGGAACAATATTCTTAAGGAATTATTCTCATTCTGCTCTACTGGAATGTAGAGGAAGAAAGAGCGAAACGAGTCTCGCGGGGAGTTATAATTATCGGCGGGGACGATCGAAATCGAAGAGAATTGGACGAAGACGAGGAAGCCGAGGAAGCCCGATCTCTTTTTCCCCGATGAAGGGTTGGAAGGGTAAGGGTCATCGGGGATGATTAAACGATCCGGTCGATAACATCCTCGCGATGTTTGATGCTTGCCACGATGAGAACGATGAGGGAAAGGACAAGCTTGGTCGGACTTGGATCGTCGGTGCTTGACTCGACCGTTTAATAGCCTCGTTTCACGGCCCATTGATTTTGTACGTACCGGCGGGGCTATGGTTTTCCTATAAGCACATTCTGCACCGGCGTATCTGCACGCGCTATTGTGCTCGAGCGAAAGACAGAGAGAAAAGAGGGAGAGAGGGAGAGAGAGAGAGCGATTTTGCGCTAATGGATAACGGGGGAGAAGAAAAACCGCGGGGGAAGGGGCGACGACAAATAGATGCTGCTTAACCCGGTTACTGGTTTGTGCGGTTTTCTGATTTTTTTCTCCCCCTCTTTTTCTTCGTCCCTTCTTTTTCTTTGCTTTACGTTTTTCTTTTACGTGCGTGCAAAAAAAAAAAAGGACGAAAACGATTCGAAAACAGTTGGCATCATTAGATGGAATGGAAATTGGAAAAGAAAAAGGAGGGGATGGAATGATTTCTCTCGGACGAAATTTAAGAAAAATAGCGCGGTAAAAATTTCGAGAATATCGTTCGACATAAATAACGGGGATTAAGCCATTAGTTTCTATGTTTCCAGGAAAATCTTCTCGTTTGCTTGAAACGCGAACCGACGATAAACTTTCGTCATTCGTTTCGTGGAGAAAGTAACGCGGGCAATTTCTCTCGAACATCGCACATCGAGAAATGTTTTTCGTGAAAAATATATCTATCTATATGTCTATACATGTATATATTTATATATATATATGTATATCTATGAGCAGACTGCGGATTTTTATGCAGTTGAAACGTGTTCGATGTTAAATTAATATATAGAAAATACGTATAAATATGACGAATTAAAATATATTCGGAAGATAGAGAAAAGAATGTTTTATTCGGTTTGTTGCCGAGACATTAGGATTCAAAGTTTGCATAATACTTAAGATGGCGCGAAGATTATGAATAGACCCGTGACCCAGTGACCTATTAATTTTTCGTGAAAATGCTTTTCTATGTTTTCTAGAAATCGCGTATCACTTTTTCCCAGAAATTATGTCTGTCGCTTGTCCGGTGTTCGGGATAGATAATCCAGATGAAAAGAAACGCGAAACGATCGCTCGCTCAATGACCAGAAATTATTATATCTCGTAGCGCTTTAAAATTTTTCCTAATTTATGATAAACTTTTAATCGAGCTTCAAAAACAAATTGCACGACAATTTTACCGTTTATCCATTCATTAAAATATTTTAGATCGATTTTTAATTGCCAATAAGTTAAAAAAAAAAAAAACAAATGTCAAAAATACGTACTTTCACTTACACTTCTTTTTTTTTTTTCATATCGATCAATTTTTGAAATATTGCGTACCTATTACGAGTCGTTCTGTATCAATATATATATATATATATATATTTTTTTTTTTAATTAAAAGTCTAGGAAACGAATCTATGAAAAGAGCGAGACTTAAGCGTAGACGTATCGTGTCGAAAACAAACGGTCGAAAACCATAGCAGTCAGTTGGAATTCTAAACGAACGTACGTCACGATACTTCTGATCGCTTGTGACGTAAACGTCAAAAAAAGCAGTCGCCACGGCATCCAACTCATAGTTAGAAATTTAGTCTCTTCGTGATCCACTTGTCAACGTGTGACGAGGGAGCTGCTCGTTGCGTTCGTATATTCCAAGTTTCTCCCCTGTTTCGACAGAGCTAACGAAGTGGCGGCTTGTAACGACGATTCAATATGCTATACGTAGCATAACTGAAACGCGAAACGATTCTTTCCAATTTGCGTGCAAAACATAAGCCGCGCAACATCGTCCTTTTCAGAATTTCTTTCATGCGATTCAGGGATTAATGATTAATTAGGGGAAAAAATGTTATACTTGATACTTCTGTCACATCCCCGTGCTTTTTCTGTTTATATAATTTTCACGGTGAAAACACGGTTGTCGAACAACAACGCAACGACGAAGTGATGTTAATTAAATTGATAGTAACAGGTCAAAGTGATACGGATAAATATTTGAAAGACAACGATACCAGCAGCTCAATTTATGAACAATAGATAGGGGATTGTCAGTGTATATTGTGAATTTTCATTCTCGCGAAATGGATCTAATTATGAGTATAACGAAATGAAAACACTCGCTAATTAATCATGGAAAACGACAGAGAGGTATTTAAAATGGAAACAATTTTATATCCCCGCGAATTCTCAACTATAAACTTACATCGCGTTTATTTAAAACGCATAAATTCTGTATAATACGATTTAAAAAAAACAAGCATTGTGTGATATTTATTTCGCGCCCGATAAAATATCCTCAAAATGTGATTGCAGAAATAATATTCCATAGGGATATCGTGTCCGAAATATAATACACAAGATGAATCGTGAACGGATATTGTTAGGTTTCGTCAAATTGAATTTGTATTAAGCGTTACCCCGCTTAATATCACATTTTACGCTCGAAATTTAAACAGAAAATCTTCATTTTGTTGTTTCGCCGCCCGCGTCCATTAACACGGTTGGAAAAGCAGCTTCGACGTAATTAACACGAATCTCTTTCAAAAAAAAAAAAAAAAAATGAATTTTAATTAAAAAAGAATCCGATCTTGCGTAATTATTAATAAACGCGTCGAAATGACAATTAGAGAATGAACGAGTAGGTTGATAACGTTGACCAATCACTCACCTTTCATTTGAGATTTCGATATATTGCTGGGTATCTTGGTGGACGACTCAGAGGCGGATTTTTTCGGCGACGCGGGTAAGGAGAAGAGGACGTTGGTCGGCAATTTGTCGGCCTCCGTGGACGAGGAGGCGGTGAGATACGTGGTCGACGTGGCATGGGGCTGCTCCCTCTGCTCTGTCGCGGTCGACGGTATCGACGCCTCTGATTCCGCGGCCACGATTGACGTGACAGTCATCGTGGACGTGGACGTCGGCGTTGTCGGCGTGGTCGTCATCGTCATCGTTATCGTGGTCGCCGTCGACGTCCTCGGGGAACAGCCGCTCGCCGCCCCTTCCTGCCCCTCGCTGTTCCCTACCGTCCCGCTGCTCTGTCTCGTCTGCAAACAATTTTCGTCCCTGCCTCGTCAAACGTGGCCGTTATTGCTATCGTTCTCATCTTTCTGTGTTTCCAAATTTTAAAAAAGAATTGAATCAATTGAATTTCCGCGGAGGAGAGGCGAATTTTCTGTTCTTGATTAGACGAAAATTTGATTAGGGGAGATCTCTGCGAGGAGGAAAAAAGAAAAATCCTTGCGAAAGCTAGTTGGCAGTTATGAGAAAAGGGTAAAAAAAAGAAAGAAAGAAAGAAAGAATCGCGTTTTAAATCGTTTTCCAATCGGACGAGGGATCGGGGTAGCCACAGGTGGCACGACGCGCGTAACGATGGACACGGTTCGTGACACGGGGAATACAACGGGATATCGAATCGAGAGGGAAAGAGAGAAAGGTGAAATTATGTTTTCTAACCGAGCAGAGGCGACCTCTCTATCCCTTTTCACATTAAATTTGTTGATCGAAACGCGGCATCGTCGATTTGGCCGACAACCGAGAAAGCAAATATATATCCGATTCGACTGCTATTCGAGAACTGAGACGAGATTGGTCCAGGTGGCGAAAAATGCGCACGAATCCGAACGGTAACGATCGCGAAATGTCGGCGGTACTCGCAGTTTCGTGGCTATAAACTTGTAGACACGTACCGCAACCGTATCATCGTGCGAAGTTTATGGGTGGCGCGGCTTAGAAGCCAACCACAAACGTGTTTTCGCGCTGTTCTCGGTAATCGTGTCACGCCTTGATGGCCGGCTTGACATTCACCTCCTCCATACGACGATATATTGCCGACAATATCAACACCGAGTAATTGATGGGAGTAATCGATGCGGTCCGTATCATCAGGAGGAGATCGATCAGATTTCGACACGAGGATGTTCTCGTATTGGTTAATTTGCCCGATTGAATGGATATCGATTCTGAATCGTACCCCCGGGACGACGGATAAATTTTAACTTTCTTCTAATTTTATGTGTTGCAGTAAAGAAATTAAGAAGAAGAAGAAGAAGAATAACTTGGCGAGAAAGTTTGTCAATTACGATGTAATTCAAGCTATGGATCATTCAATAACCGCAATGAAAGAGCTTAACTTGGAATCGAATTGTGAATTTGTGAAAGGAGGAGGCAGAAAATGTATGGCAGAGTGTGTATTTCGAGCGTCGAGAAAGGAAGTTACGACGCGGTTAACTCTGTTTATAAAGAATGCGAAGCTTCGTGTTACACAGCGACGATAAAAGGCTCTCTCTCTCTCTCTCTCCTCCCCCGTAGAATCGACATAATGCATACACGTCACGACGATAAACCTGGGATCAGACCACTCGTTGCAAATTGCCGTCAAAACGAGAAAAACATCGCTCGGAGGCGCGGATCGGGCACAATCTTTCGCTAAGATCAAGCTTGTACATGCGACCGCTATAAATTTCATATTCTCTCGAGCGCAGAGAAATGGGTGCTCGTAATTTTCGTTTTCTCGAATATTCTCGCCACGCTCGAACTGAAAAGAGGAACGAATTAAGTTTTTTTCTTTTTCTTAAACGTTTGCCGCGGAGAAATCAAAATTTCGATTCGAACGGACATGAGAGAGAGGGAGAAAGAGAGAGAGAGAGAGAGAGGCGTTCGATTTATTGAATTCCGAGCAGATTCTGAAAATTACACGGAACATCCGTGGGGGAGGGCTTTCGAATTTTAAAGCGAACCGACAAGAGAAAGTTTGAAAATTTCTTTTTTTCTTTTTTCCTTTTTCCCCTTTTTTTGCCCCCCCTCTCTCCTTTTTTTAAAAGTGAATTTTACAACAAAAGGCCACGAATGAAAAACCTCTTCGCTCGAGGTTCGTTCTATCGTCGCAAAAGAGCGGTGATAAAATCGAATTCTCGTTAACTCGTCACGCGTTGGCCGATCGCTCGTGACACTTTTGTCCTCCGGATTTCGACGATTCCTCGGATCGTGCGCCGTTTTAAATTACATTTCATCGCTCCCGCCCACTGTGGACAAGGCGAACGTAGACTATTTTAGACCAGGAGGGGTTCAAATTCCATCCCCGATCCTCCACGCGGATTTCTCGTTTCTGCCTCGTCTTCACCGACCGCATAAAAGGGCGTGTCTTCGATACCTAATTATAAAAGCGGTTTTAATCCTTCCTCTCCGTAATCGCTCGTCCCTCCCTTTCTTCCCCTCCCTCCCTCCCGATTAACCGTTATCGGACGTTGTCTTTAATTAGCCGCGTAATTAAAATTCCTTCGGCCGAAACTCGAAAAGCATCGGCGCAAAAATAAACCTGTCGAGAGGCGTCCGACAAACGCCGATTATCCGCCGCGAAACCCGTTTCTTCGTGGAGCGACGGTTCGCAACGAAACTAGAAAATCGGGTAGATCGAGGTAAGAGGACCGAGGAACGAAGGAAGGAAGAATTACCCGCAACGCTGCCCGTTGCAATCTATCATGCGGATAATTCGATTACCTTCCAAACCGAGATGGTCCAGTTGCGAGTCGGCTAATGAAATAATAGGGGACGATATTCCATCCGCCAGGCGGAAATTGCATTGCCACCGATCTTCCAAAACATCGTTCCAATCGCGGAATTAAGCCGGAAGCCGTGGGATTCGCCCTCCTCGTCTCGATCTGCCAAAAGTCTGGCGATGAGCACACGCGTGGTCGACAACCTTTTCGACACTCCCCGATTATTTCCCCCGTCGAAACTCGATTAGCGACAACGAGCAGGACTAATCGCACGAGGAGCTCGTATCGGTGAGATCGTACACACACACACTCGTGGTTGTTATCGTCCCCTTGGTTCCCCGCATCTTTCGTGGCGAGAGAGAGAGAGAGTGGCGAAATTCGAATGGAAGGCCGCTCTGACTCGATCAAGCCTCGCAATAAACGCTTAATTAACTCGTCTTAGAGGCGAGCAACCGAACGAGCCCGGTGAACGATACGACGAAAGGGGCGCTCGATAGAGTTGGAGGGACGATTAGATGGACGTGGGAGGAGGAGGAGGAGGAGGTAAGTTAACGATCCCGAAGAGGACGATGCACGAATCTTGGCGCAATGATGGTCGGAATGCGGCGGCGGTGATTAAAAGGAACGCTTTCTTTGAATACCGATGAGAAAAGGCGGCGCAAAGTGGAATGCCTGATGATATCGCGCAATTTTCTGGGTTAAGACGTTTAATTAAAACGCGCGATCGGAAACGCGGTGTCGGCCGGAAATTGTGCGAATTTCATTGAATCGGCGCCGGTGGATCAAAGTAAACGAACGTCGTGGGAACGTTCGCCTCGCCTCGAGCGTAATTATTCGCCGCCCGTTAATCGTTTCGCGTCAATTAACAGCTCGCGAAACGAACTTCTAACCTGTTGTCGCGAAACAAACGTTGCGACTCCCTCCCCCTCTCTTGGATCTGTGCAAATCGACGGTATTTTAGGGTAGGAAGAAGCCAAGGAAGTCGAGGCGAAGCGTGGAGATGAATTATTATATTAGAGAATTTGAGAAGCGACACGGGGCGAGCGTATCGCGGAGGGAAAAGGTTGGAGATGCAAAGCGGTGGATGGGGGAAGGGGTGAAGGAAAGAGGAAGTTTTCGAAGGGTTGAGTCGGTGGCGCGATAAGACTCGGCACTCGATCACTCTTGTCTCGTATTTTGATTGAACGAGAAACGAGAAAACTTCGACTGACTTGAACGCGCTGACGATTTGCATGCGACTACCGAGTCCGTGCGGCCTGCATACAGGAGATAGCATTTTATGCCGCTATTAAGCGTTTAATTTTTTTTTATTTTCTCTCTCTCTCGCTGGAAAGAAGATTGGAGAAGATTGGCGGAACTATCGAGACGTAGTTTTTCACAAGCAGTTTTTCATAATTGATCTTGGAGGGACGAGGAAAAAGCGAAACGATCGATTTCGAATATTCGTAAAATTTGCATAATTTTATGCTTCTTGTGTAAAAAAAAAAAAAAATCAACACCCTATCTCGCAGATCGTATCGCGTTTTTCAAGGAAAAAGAAGCGAGGCTACGTAGCTATAGCGACGCTATAGCGACATATCTTTAAGTATCTTCAACCGGAACAAACGTTTATTCGAGAAGTTATACACACATATTCCGTCAAATTTCACCGATTCCATCCGGGATTAGCGCAATTCGTAGACGACCGTGTACGCCGCGCGTCTTCCCTCCGTTCTACAAATTTCGCCATACGAAATTTACATAAACGCAAACTGGTGCGACAAGCTGGTGTCCCGTGGTAAGCGAGCAAGCAACTGCCTGCTCGACGTTATTCGATCAACCACCGAGAATCCCGGCTGCGGTGACCGCGTCTGAAAATCTTTCTAATATTCAAGAGGTTTTCTCGAGATAACTAGATAAGACACAGCGGCCGGTATATCAGAGCATGCGGTTAAACCGCTATCCTCTCTCCCTCCAATCATTTTCCACCTACAACTTTTACGACCTTCTCGAGAATAACGTCGAAACTTGTTCCCACGTGCGTGGGGGTACAACGAATCGTTCTCTCGAATTCGGCGAGAGGTGTTGCGCAATTTGACCAGTACTGCTAATAATAGGGAATCACCAAGAATTAACCGATTAATCGGCAAGCTGGAAAGGGAGAGAAACGCGTTGAGGGGCGAACTCGTTAGCGTTGCGGCTGACCGCCCGTTCACGACCGATTTCGCCCAACACGCCGCCATAATTCAGCTTATGAGAAAGGAAATGATGCCGAGCTGCCGATATTTCTAATCCTCCCTTCGAACCCTCCCCAATTCGAACGCTCGATTTCGAATGCTTCGATCCGTCCTCGTTGTCCAACGGACAATGGCCGATTTACTTTTATTCTTTTCTTCTTCTTCTTCTTTTTTTTTTTTTATTACGAAAGAAAGATAATTCTTCCGATAACGAAGGTTATCCGGTAACGATCGATGGAAGGAAAACATTTTACACCTCCCCCGGTAAGGGTTGAAAGAACAGTTATCGCGATTTTCTTCAACGCGGGATAAAGGTTTATCTTTTGACGGTAC